AAGCTTGTGCGCGTTGCCGTGGCTTTTGGATCCTGAACCCTACACCTTAAACCACCCCTGCCCGACCTCAACCCACCAGACCATACCTTGAGCAACTCCAAAACATCCTGAAAGCAACCATGAACCCCCGCACCACACACACACACACACGCACGCACGCACGCACGCACGCACGCACGCACGCACGCACGCACGCACACACGCACGCACACACGCACACACGCACACACGCACACACGCACACGCACACGCACGCACGCACGCACGCACGCACGCACGCACGTACGCACGCGCGCACGCACGCGCACACGCACACGCACACGCACACCGACACACACACACACACACACACACACACACACACACACACACACACACACACACACACACACACACACACACACACACACACACACACACACACACACACACACACACACACACACACACACACACACACACACACACACACACACACACACACACACACACACACATGCGCACGCACGCGCGCACGCACGCACGCACGCGCGCACGCACGCACGCACGCACGCACGCGCGCGCGCGCGCGCACGCACGCACGCACGCACATGCACACGCACGCGCACCCGCATGCGTATGCGCACGCGCCCGCTCATGCACGCACACGCACACGCACACGCACACGCACACGCGCACGCACACGAACACCCACCCCCCACCCGCACACGCACTCGACGCGCACCCGCACGCGCACCCGCACGCGCACCCGCACCCGCGCCCGCATACGCACACGCACGCACACAAAGGCACACGCGCACACACAGGCACACGCACACACGCAGACCCACCCACCCACCCACCCAGACCCAGACCCAGACCCAGACACAGACACAGACACAGACACAGACACAGACACAGACACAGACACACACAATCACACACACACCCACACACACCCACACACACACCCACGCACACGCACACGCACACGCACGCAAGCAGGCACGCAGGCACGCAGGCACGCACGCACGCACGCACGAACGCACGCGCGCACACGCACACGCACACGCACACGCACACGCACGCGCACACGATCCCCTACTCTTCAGGGGTGAAGGACCTGGAAAATGCATATCTGCAGTTTTATGGTCCCCCTCGAGCCAGGACATGACACAAAGCCTTCTTCAACCGCCAGAGCAGAAGGAATGAGTGCGCCTGTAAAGCTCAGCTTGGGCTGAAGGCCTACTTTTGACACTTAGGTGTTTTTTGACCTACATCTTGGAGAGCGTTGTTGGGTATCGTTATCCAGGCAAGACCACAAATGGAGCACCTGTGTGATACGCATGACTCAAGTGATGGCTATTTCCATATGAACCTGGTCACAAATACCTCCGCGCTCAACACCCAGCCGCTCAGCATTTGCTATCCGCTGCAAGCAAGCGCTCTGCGCAGTCCTTCAAATCCGCTTACGCCCAGCGGCCGGAAGCAGATTTCGTGGTGCGACAGCAGATTTCTTGCAAAAAATCCGCTAGCGCGCTGGCAAATCCGCTTACGCCCAGCGGCCGGTAGCAGATTTCCAAAACTGGCGTGAGCGGCTTTCGGCCACTGGGCGGCTACCGGCCGCTGGGCGTAAGCGGATTTGCAAGCGTGCTAGCGGATTTCAGGCTGGAAATCTGCTGCCGCGCCACGAAATCTGCTTCCGGCCGCTGGGCGTAAGCGGATTTGCACTTTTTCTTAACGGGATGGCTTAGCGATGCACTAGTCCCAAGTGCAACCAAAGGGTTCGAGACGCCACCGGGATGAAGGAATCCAACAAAGTAAAGAGACGCACGAGGAGTCAGGCGGCTGTTCTTTCGCCCGCGCAAAAGAACTGCAATAAAATGCTAGACTTTCAACAAAGGTGGCGCCGGGGTGGCGCCAAGGATCACATGCTCTCACATACATGCTCTCACACTTGTTTCAACATGTGACCAGACATGATGGCAAAGCAAATCTCATGTAATCTCACGAATAACGTACGATAGCGCACTATAGATTCTACGTGGGGAGAAGCATGCATAAAAATAAAATGCATAAGGTACCTGGGTCCCCCCCCTAAATGCATTTTCCTAGAATGGGGGATCGCACACGCACGCGCGCGCGCACACGCACACCCACCCAGCCACACACACACACACAGCACACAGACACACAGACACACAGACACACAGACACACAGACACACAGACACACAGACACACACACACACTTAAACTCCCGGAGGAGGAATCTCATCTTTCGACTGGGTGGGTTTTCGAGTGGTGGTTTCCGCGGGCAAAGAGGGGTCCGTTTAGTTGGGGTCGCCCACCAGCTGTCATCATAGACCCAGGTGCGGCTTGCAGGTACGTTTCACGAGAGGCACGTGGGGTCTTCGTTGGCAGCCGCCCACATGCTTCCCCGGCTGCATCTCCGAACTGGGTGTGTCTCTTGACGAGTCTGAGGGTCTCCCCTGCGTAATGAGACACAAACAGGCGCATGT